AGGGAGGGAGGGAGGAAGGAAGGAAGGAAGGAAGGAAGGAAGGAAGGAAGGAAGGAAGGAAGGAAGGAAGGAAGGAAGGAAGGAAGGAAGGAAACAGGTAACCTAAAAACCATAGGTAGTAATTTTTCATTATTATATATTAGCCTCCAAAGTTGCTACTGTAAGTCACCATTATTAAAACAATGTTCCAAAAACATGATAAATCCTGCTAAGCAGAGTCACTTGTATTTGTCGCAGCAGGAGGAAATTATCTCAGGATCCCTGGTTGCAACTTTTTGTGTTCATGCCACCCTAAGAAAGTGACTTAAAACAAGAAGTTTGGAAAGTCTGTAAACTCTGACTTCTGTTCCAATCTCCTCTTTCTCAGGGTCTCCTTTGTTCATTTCTTTTCCTCTCCTATCAAAACTAGAATGAAACTGATGGTCCACTATCTGCCCCTGTTTATATCGCAGACGTTCATTACAATGAAGGCTCTTCATGGTTCATTTCCTTCTTTCTGTTCTTCCCTTCTTCCTTCAACAAATATTTATTGAGCATATTCTATGTCCCAAGTACCTTGCTAAGAGGTGGAACAAAACTGGTGCCTGTCTTCATGGAACTTACAGTCTATAAGGAAATAGACACGTTTCACCAAAAAATTTTTCAGGAATAAGTATTATTTAGAACTTTCCAGAACAACATTACGAGCAGAGAAAGAAGTAAATGTGGAGGACCCTAGTCGGAAGGGAACTCGGTGCACTCAAGGGACTGAGAGGTCAGTGTGCTAAAGAAATGTGGTGCTTGATGCAAGAGCAGAACATGACATGTGAAGGATGTCGGCTTTATCCCAAGACCCTTTGGAAATCATCAGTTATTTTAGACAGAGGAATGTCATGATCTGACTTGTGTTTAGAAGAGATCGCTATGCCATCTGCGTAGGGCAAGTGGGGATAAAACCGAATGTATACTTTTTCAGAGGCTATTGCCTAAATCCAGTGAAGGATGGTGGAAGCCTCTACTAGGGGGAGGCAATGGACACCCTGGAGAAAGTTTTAGAAGGTCCGACGGAAAGGGCTTGGTGTGTAGTTGGCTGAGCCTGCAGAGGGGAGAGGTTGTGGCCTTGGGCTATAAGGGAAGAGGACACTGAAGCAGGGGAGGCCTGTGCTCAGTTTTCTCTGTAGTTCAAAACAGAACTGTTCCTCTTTACTCCTCTACCCTGCTCACACACACATACAGCAAAGAATTTTAGGGATGTTCCAGCCACATGTCCCCTTAACCGGTGCAGAAAACATATACTCCCACTGTAAATATATTGAAATGCTGAATATATTTAAGCATATAAGTATGTGAATATATATTTATATATATTTTATATACATATATGAATATTCACACATAAAAATATATACTATACATATATAAATATATACACATACATGAATATATACATATATTTGGTTTCATGCATGTATGTATATATGTATATCATGTTTATATGTCCATGTATAAATATATGTATGTACACACATATACATGTGATTCAGCTATTGCTAATAGGGATTCAGACAATATGAATAAAAGATCAGGCAGATTTGAAAATGAATGAAAAAATGAATTCTAAAGACATAAAAACTATTAAGAGAAAACTATCCTCAGAATATGGTTAAATAGCAGAAAAATAAAATTGGAGAATTTCTGAGCTGCTCTGCGAGAAAAATGAAAGGTTTGTCTTCTGGGAACATTTAACCAAAAGGAGATCTGAATCCTGGAAACTTGAATTTCAAAGTGAGATGCCCAAAAGAAAGATTCTACAGATAATAGCTTTTATGGAGGAGGGTAATGAAATCAATCACCCATTCGGTTATATGGTCCAACAGTCAAAATATCCTCATCATGAATGCAGAGCTTCCAATAACTCTGGGGATTTAAGTTTTGATCTTAAACTTAATGAAAAGAACTTCTTTCCAGATAGAAGTATCTGGTACAGGATCTTCCTTTCTGCATAAATAACCAGAAAACTACAGAAACCATAGGTAACAAAGCAGAACTGTCATGCCTGAGGGAAGAGAAACAAGATCAGCCTTATGATCATCTCAGCTTTCTATTTGGAAGCAATTTCCAGACCAGAGCATAGGTAGGAAAATCAAGTAAAACCAACTATTTTATTCAACTGAAAAGAACAGAGATAAAATTTGGGGGAGGCCAAGGTACCTGAAATTTGCAAGACAGAGTGTCAGGGAGTCATTCAGAAAAAGAGCTCCAGAAATCTGCATAGAGATCCCTTCAAGTCTTTGAATTCCATCTGGTCATGTGTTAAGTAGAACTCTAAAAGACTACCCAAAATACAGTATCCAGAAAACTAGAAGCTAAACAATTCCCAGAGTTCACTAGGGTTGGGAGACAGTGGGATTCCTACCAGCCAGAGAGGAGAGAACATTTTCAATACTGAGGGCATTTACTAGGGACCTCAAAAGAGTCTTGTCTTAGTACCAGGACTAAGTAGTGTTAGAGTAGATGCCACTGTGAACCCATCCTAACAAAGCCTGAAGACAAACCTCAAAAAAGATAAAGCAGATCCTCAAGGAACTTAACTGTCTGCCAAAACAAACTTTAGGGTCTTTAAAGGAAGAAAACGAAATGCAAATACTCAACCACATAACCATTACAATGTCTAGCATCCAACCAAAAATTGCTAGACATGCTAAGAGGGAGAATTCCTTGACCCATACTGGGGGGGAAAAAGGCAATAAAGAGATTCCAACATGACAGAGATGATATAATTAGAAGATAAGGAATATAAAACACCTATTATAATTATACTCAAGGATTTAAAGGAAACTGGAAGACTTTTTTTAAAAATACTAAAATGGAACTTCTAGCATTGATAAATACAAGACCTGAAGTGAGAAATTCACAGTGATATCAGCATCGTGGTGGCATAAAATGCCCCTCGTATTTGTCCCCCTCCCCCAATAACAAAATGTTGGCATCTATCCACAGATAAAGGTACATTTGAGGGAGCTGTGGGATCCAGCACCCTACACAAAGGGACCCGGGAGGAGTCTCACTCACCCACGCATTGGGTAATAGGCACAGAGGCCTCAGTCCCGCCTGTGGATCTGCAGTGGCTCATGAACCAGCTCCAGCCCCTTAGCTGTGATCTGGGATCTCCAGGAAAACACTGTCTTAGACAATCACCCAAAAATGAGCGAGCAGGAAATATAGGNTCTGGGATCTCCAGGAAAACACTGTCTTAGACAATCACCCAAAAATGAGAGAGCAGGAAATATAGGTTTCCAGAGGAGAAGTTGCAGCACACCAAGGAAGCAAAACAAAAACAAACAAAAACGAGTTTGGACACATTGGAGTGGGTAATAGGAAGAGCTAGACTTTACCCCANGTTTCCAGAGGAGAAGTTGCAGCACACCAAGGAAGCAAAACAAAAACAAAAACAAACAAAAACGAGTTTGGACACATTGGAGTGGGTGATAGGAAGAGCTAGACTTTACCCCATTGCCCCTCCCCCAAGGCAGAATATCTGAGGACCCTTATCAAAATCAAAGGTAATACAAGAAAGAAGCACCACTGACAGATATTGCCTCATGAAAATAGATGCCAAATCTTTAACAAAATATGAGCAAATCAAACCTAGTAACACATAAAAAAGAAAATGCACCAGACCTTGTGATACTTTCTCCCAGGAGTTAAGATTGTTTTAACATTTGAAAATCAAACGATGTGATTTTTCATATTAACAGAATTAAGTAGGAAAATGTTATAATCTTAATAGGTTAAAAAAAGACATTTCACAAAATTAACACTCATTTATAGTAAAAATTTCAGCAAACTAGGAAATAGAGCGGAAATTCCTCAACCTGACAAAGAACATTTATGAAAAACCTGCACCTAACCTCAAAATTAATGATAAAATTAATAAATGCAATATGCCTAAGATTTGGAACAAGGCCAGGCTGTCTCTTCTCAGTGTCTTCTTTCAAAATTATACTGAAGGTCCTATCCAGTGCAATAGACTAAAACCAAAAATAAACCAAGGCATTCTGGTTGGAAAGGAAGAAATAAAACTCTATTGCGGACGATATGATCAGTATATTCACAGTCAATGTGATCTGTAGATTCTAATAAATCTACCAAAAAAGTTAAATGACTAATGAGTGAATTTAACAAAATCACAGGATACGAAGCCAATGTAAAAAATACAAATTGTATTCTATATGCTAAGGTATAAATATCCCTTAGTGGGATAGCCCTGAGGTACCTTTCGCAGCACTTCCCAGGGGATTTAGCTGCAGTCTCCCACAGGGGTGCCTGGCTTATGCACCCTTCCTTAGCTGCCTTCTCTAATAACCCCACTCTCTACAAGTGTTTCTGCACCTCCAGATCAGCTGGTCAGGCTCCAGTCCCTTTGCAGATTCTGTTTCTGAGGAACCCAGGCCAAAATACGTGGCAGTTGGAGCGGCCTGGAGTTGAGAACAGGATGATGCAATTGGGCTGCAGGCTTGCCCGCAGTGAGTGCGTGATACAGGCTGTGGCTACAGGAGCTATTTTGAACTGATCCCTTCACCAATGTGTGATGCATCCTGGTTCCTTCATCCCTGCACTGTGATGATGTCACCTGCAGTTCGCACGGATGTCTGCAAGCACCCAAAAGCCCATGAAAACCAGAGGAGAGGGGTCAGCGATGTCATCTTGGCAGCCAGTCTACCCTCTCCCGCTGCACCCTCCAAAGCTGAGCATTAATCTTTGAGCAGCATCGAGGCGTGGGAAGGGAAAGGTGAGAGGGAGCAGGGTGCTTTTCTCCTCCACTCAGAATTGCTAGTCTAGGCTTTGGAGATGGGAGAGGAGGCAAGTTTGCAATCAGTTATGAGACTCAAGTTTTACAATGAATAGCCCTGAATCTTAATAACTGAGCCTATTGCAATACTTAGTTTTTAATTTAATATTTAAGTTTGGTGTTAAACTGAGCAAATTTTAATACTGAAGGCAAACAAAAAATTATGAATTAGAGTGATGTCCTAAATAAGTCTCATATTCATGGGGAGCTTGATGGGAGAGTAGGTGGGCGAGTCGAGTTGTTTGAAACAGAGCACAGCTGGCAGTAGTTACGGAAAAATAAATTCGGGTAGATAAACATACATGACGTGTATATAAGTATATGCACATAAATACTGCTTAAGAGAGCTCTCTCAACTTCCTGGAGCATGCATGTATATTTAACTATTGAAAAAACGCATTAAATTGGGATGGTGTTTCTGAAGGATGGTTGTAAATACATCTGACTAATCTGGATTGCTCGTTAAAATGCAGGTTACTGCCCAGCCGGCGAGGCTCAGTGGTTCAGTGCCGACCAATGAACCAGGAGGTCACGGTTTGATTCCCGACCAGGGCACAGGCCCAGGCTGGGGGCTGGGTCCCCAGAAGGGGGCGTGCAGAAGGCAGCCGATCAGTGACTCATCATTGATGTTTCTTTCTCTCTCTCCCTCTCCTTTCCTCTCTCTGAAATCAATAAAATTATATTTAAAAAAATAAGTTTTAAAAAATCTGCATTTTCCAGCTCCATTAAAGCCAGAGGGAGCCAGGTGATCAAGTGCTGTACAGTTAGGCTTAAGCAAAAGTATTGTGTGAAACTTCCAGGAGAAATCCCGCCCCCCCCAGTCCTGTTTTCTGAACCATCCCCTTTCCCTGTGTTCCAGGACAAAGGTTGCCTCAAAGAACTACGCTTCTGCCTGGCTGGCGTGGCTCAGCGGTTGGCCATCCACCTAGGATCCAGGAGGTGGAGGTTCGATTCCCGGTCAGGGCACAGGCCCGGGTTGCGGGCTCCCTCCCCAGTCGGGGGCGCGCAGGAGGCAGCCAATCAGTGACTCTCTCATCATTGGTGTTTCTCACTCTCCCTCTCCCTTCCTCTCTCTGAAATCAATAAAGACATTAAAAAAAAAAAAAAGTATGCTTCTGCATCTGTCTTAGATTAAGATTCCCTCCACGTGTTCTCACGACGCCCATAAGACTCAGGTGTCCTTTGTTTTTCCCTGACCCTCGGAGTTCAGACACAGTCCCTCTAAGCCCCTTTTCTTTTCCGAGATATAACTAACGTACATAAGTTTCATTTGTACGCGACTCTCCATTCTTTGTCTCATGAATGATTAGCTCATACTAGAAATGTTTGTTTGCCCCCAAACAGCTAAACATAGAAATAAACATTTCCTGCCCAGCTGACTAAGATGTTCCCTGATCCCTGATCTCTGATCATGGAACATCTTAGTCAGCTGGACAAGAAATGTTTTTCGTGAGACTCTTGAACACCTCCCTATAAACATGTAAGGTAAAACCACATTGTGAAGATCCTCGGGTCTTAGGATCTAGAGTGTGTTCCTGATTCTATAGCCTGAATAAAATTGTCTCATTAATTTCCAGGTCCATAGCCGCACAACTTTTATTATAGTATATTGTTGTAACTGTTCTATTTTATTATTAGTTGTTAATCTCTTTCTGTGCCTAATTTATAAATTAAACATCACAGGCATATATTATATATGCATCTACAGAGTATGTATGTATGTACAGAGTTTGGTACTATCCTCGGTTTCTGGGTGTCTTGGAACTTGTCCCCAGAGGAAAAGGGAGGACTACTGTATGTCAGACTGTGGAAAGGACTATTAAAAAATATGAGATTACAGAGCAAAATGAGATTGTGAGGGTCTTGACTGAATCTCAGGGAAGAAGATACTTTAGATAGGCTTTAAAATAATGAGAGTTTTGATTGATGGATGAGAGGAGATAACAAAGATGATGACATCTTGATCCAGATGGGCCTCAACAGGCTGGACTAACTGATCAACAGAGTAAGCCCCGGCAACTTGCTGAGTTTATGGAAGGAAAGAAAAGGTAATTGAAGTTATTTATCAAGGAATGCGATGGAGACTCTAAGAGGGGTAAACTAATGAGTTCAGTTTCAGCCACTTGAGTCAGAGGTAGTGGTGAAATATTTACGTAGAGATATCCTATAAGTGGCTAGAATTACTGCTTGAGCTGTGAAGAGATCAGAATAGATAGATATGCATCTGGAGTCCAGAGGATGATTTGATTTTCTGAAAATAACGTGGCAATCGATGGGCTTGACGGTCAAAGACTGGAAACTCCAAGAATACTTAGTGGCAGCGGCAAGGAGAGCAGCGGTGGCAGCAAAGAGGAGTTGGCACCGGGGCTCAGGGCCTCCGAGCTTTTCCCCAACAGCTGTTTGGAATAGCACTTGTTCTGCAAAATTTGAAAAGATGTGCCAACCCTCCCCTCACGCCCCTCTCAAAAAAACAAAACAACAAAACAAAATAAAACAAAACAAAAAACTGTTGCATGCTGCAATGTCTTTGAGAAAGTCTGGGTTTGTAGATAAACAGCTTCTTTCCTTCTGGTACTCACAAGATGTTTGAAGATAGATAATGGGTGATAAATCTCTAAGGGCATGGGCGCAAGTATGCAATTTTCCCAGCTGAGTTCACTGCAAACTGATTTCACCACTTCAAGGAGGTGGGGGCAGAGTAGGAGACACCTGGTGAGGGAGATGGGCTAGCCATCTTTGTAACCTGGAGAGAAACCATCTGATCTACTAGCAGGAGCTCCTTCCTACCTTGCGCAACTTTTGGGGGTCACAGAATCCACTGGAAATTCGGCTGAAGCTGTGGAATCTCTCCTCCGAAAATTGTACCATGTCTGTATGCGGCACTGCTTCCCAAATATGCCAAGGAGGAACAATAACGGTGCGTTAATTTTCTCATACATTTTTACTCACTTAAATTTTTTCAATATGCCTATGCAAAAATATTAAGGTAATACAAAAGTGTGTGAAATAAAAAGTAATATTTCCCCTCAACCTAGTGCCTCCTGCACACTCAAAGATCACTTTTAACAATTCTCTCTAAATATATCCAAATACATTAAAATACATAAATGGAGTATTTTTACCACTTGCATTTATTAAATTCACTTCATCATGGACATTTTTTTCACATGGGGGCCTACTGATTTAGCTTCATCTTTTTTGATAACTCCTGGTGTGATGTACTATACATTTCCATTTCCCCCACCATTTATTAAGCCACGTAAATATTTATGGAACCCCCGATCATGAGTGAGGCCTCCTGTTTGGTTGGAGAAACTGCAATGAAAAAAAAAAAGCAAGTATATTCCTGCTCTTAGGGAGCTGAACTCTAGCACGGGGCACAACTCAGAGACAAGTAAACAGCTAAGCCGGGTTTATGTTTAAACAAGCAGTGAAAACAGAGCTTGTTGAGTAACTGCTGGCAGCAGGGGAACCAGCTGAGGTGCGTGTCCACCTGCGCAGAGGTCACCTGGACCTGCTGAAGGGAGAATCAGGGAGGGGAGGAGAGGGGCGGGGAGAGGAATGAAGAACTGCAAGCAGCTGGTGGGTGTGCGTGTGCTGAGGCCCGCTCTTGGCCAGCTGGCACCCAGGAAAGCAAGGCTTCTGCTGCCCCACAAAGACTTGGGGAGACAGAGACCCTTCCTGATGATGCCATCTCAAAGGAATGGCACTCGGGTCCTCAAGAGTGAATTGTTAGAGATACACGTTCAGGCTGCAAGCCACTGGGGAGGTCAGGAGCTCGAGTCCCTTCGCGGGGCAGCCGGGGTCCTTCTCAGCCAGGTATTTCCACGGGCGCGCGTGAGTGGGTGTGTGGGGGTCATCCTGGGGACAGGCTCGTGCAGCTGGAAGCCGTGCAGGCCTTGTCAGGCCCTTCAGGGCAGGGGTGTGCACGCGTGGTTAGGTGCTGGGACTGTGCAGGTGTCACCAGTCCTGGGGAGGGTGGGACCACGACGGTGGAGTCTGGAAACGCCGTCGCGTGAAGAACTTGGTGCCAACTGCGGTTTAGCCGAGGAAAGGTGAAGCCAGGGGAGCCTAACTGTGTTCAGATGCGTTTCCGATGGTTCCGAGCGCCAGGGGTGCCTCCAGCAGGCGAGGTCCCGGGCCGCACGGGGGGCAGGGGCAGAGGCGGGTCCGCGGAGGGGGTTTTGGCCCCAAGGGCGAGCAGAACTGTTCTGGAGATTGTTGCTCCGTCTCGTAAAGGCGGCTGCCCGGCAGCGGAGGGAGCCGCTCGCCTGCAGCCCCGAGGGGAGCGGCGAGAGCACGGCCGAGAGC